ACTCATGTGATCTGCCCGCATCTCTTCCCCACCCCCACACTTTGCTGGTGATTTCTCAGTAGCTTGTTGCTGTGTCCACCTCCCATCAACTTAGGTGACTTTCCCCATCCCCCCTGATAGCTTTACTTCCTAAATGTTTGGTCAGTTGTTCTGTGATCGAGGCAGCCTTCTGTGCTTACTTATTTGTAAACATTTTAGCTGCAGTTTGAGTACTCTAGTACCTCTGCCCATGTTGCTATAATTGCACTGGAACCTTTCTGTGGAGGATTTTCCCAACCCCAGTAGCTCTCATGAATTGAATTTAACTTATTTGTTTCTTAAAGGTTTCTTTATTTTTTAAAATTTTATGTGTATGGGTCTTTTGCCTGCAGGTATGTCTGGGCAACACATGCATGCAGTGCCTGTGGAGGCCAGAAGGGGGCATGGGATCCCCTGAAAAGGAGTTCTAGACCATTGTTAGCTATCTTGTGGGCACTGGGAACCGAACCTAGGTTCTCTTCAAGAGCAGCCAGTGCTTTTAAAGGCTGAGCCATCTCACAAGTCCTCTGCATTCATCTTTTATTGAAGACAGGCTTTAAATTTTTTGAAGACCACAGAGCCATGTTAATGGCAGTTTTGATTAGATTTTATGTGAAGATGAAATGAGGTCCTTTGAGAGGCAGTGAATTTGCTGTTAGAGATGTGGTTCTGAGCATAAGTTACAAAAGAGTCCAAGATGGCCAGCTAAGTGTCTTACCAGCTAAATGCCACCTGCTGCCAATTTAAAATTGTAATTAAATTGATTACTTTTGAGACAGGGTCTCAGGCAGTTCGGGTGGCATTGATTGATATCCAGTGTGGATGACCTTGAATGTCTGAGCCTCCTGCCTCCACCTTCAGTGTGCATCACCCTGCCAGGTTTGTGCCATGCTGGGGATGGAACCAGGGCTTTGTGCATGCTAGGCAAGCACTCTATCAATCTGTCCACATCACAGACTTATTTTTTCTTGAAAGGTTTGAGGGTCACAGCTGTGCTCGTTCCCTCTATTGATGCAGTGGAGTAGCAGAGCTGTATAGGGGAGGCTAGGGTTGCTTATCTCGCTGGAAATATTCACCCTTGGCCCTTATACAGCACTAAATTGAAGTTACTATAAGATGAGTCACAGGCATATGACACTTAACCTCAAGATATATTCTGAACTGTGAGATTTTGAGGTGTTCCAGTGTTGGGTGGACTTCACCACATATACTAAAAGAAACTGACAGGGCTGTGATATTACAGGCAATTTGGGCTCACAGGGCCACTACCATTTGTGTGTGTGTGTGTGTGTGTGTGTGTGTGTGTGTGTGTGTATCATTGTTTTTGTGAGATATTACTAATTTGTCATCTAGAAGCAAACAAGACTCTGCTCTCCCTCCCCCCCAGTATATTTGTGTGTGTGTGTGTGTGTGTGTGTGTGTGTGTGTGTGTGTGTGTGTGTGAGTGTGTGTGCTCTTGCACATGTATAGAAGTTAGATGACACCTGGTAGAAGTAAGTTCTTTCCTTCAACCAAGTTTACCCAAGAGAAAGAACCCAGGATCTCAGGCTTTGAGTCAGGCACCTTTAGTCACTGTGCCATCTTGCTGGCTCCATATTCTCTGCTTTCAGTGCTGAGGATGAACTGGTGTCATGTTATAAAGTTGTAACATGAAGTTCTACCCCAAAGCCCACTGTTCCCACCTTCTTCCTGGCATCTTCTTCCTCTGAGCATTGTCCATTCTGTTCTCACTTGGGAGGTTAGCTGAGGTGTTAGAGTTTTGTCACTCTTGAGTTTTTTTTTTTCAAAGTTTATTTTTGTTGATGATTGCCTGCAGGTAAGTATATGTACCATGTTAATGCAGTGCCAATGGAGGCCAGAAGAGGGCATTGGGTACCCTAGAACCAACGTTAGAGACAGTTGTGAGCTGCCATGAATGCTGGTAACTGAACCTGGGTCCCCAGCAAAGCAATCAGTGCCCTTAACCACTGAGCCATCTCTCCAGACCCACTCTGTGATGCATTTTCACAGGGATGATTCTGACACCAAAGAGCTAAGATGGTTTATACTTTTAAAAACTAATACTGTAAAGGTGGGCCTAACGAGATGCCTCAGCAGGTGAAGGCACTTGCCACTAAGCTTGATGACCTGAGTTCTATCCCTGAACCCACACAGAGGAAAGAGAATGGATTCCACCACCA